GTGTGAAATATCGAATGCAATGCTGATTTTTTCTGTCTTGCACACATAACTTCAATCTAATTGTGAAAAACAAACTAATCTCTTATACAGTAAGAAGAGAGCTTCCTCCTGAGATATTTATTTGAGATTTTTGTCAATGCATATATATAGGCAAAATTAAACTTCTTTTTGAATAAAACTAAACAAGACTAATAACTCAACAATATTTTTTAAGTACACTCTCTTGTTTTCTCCATAGAAGTGTTTGGAGATTCATAAGAATATATTAATTTTAGAAATTAATCTATTAATATGAAATGCAAGTACATTGGCATTACCTTAATAATAATTATGGCTAATATTTGACATATTCAACAAAAATATTTTAAAACCCTTTAAGTTATATATAGTTGAATAACACACATTATTTTTCCTTTATGATGATAGCCCTTAAAGTTCACCCAATCTTCAATCTTTAAAAGTCCATATTTAAGCAACTGACGTATATTTTACATTATGACCACATCATTGAAAATTTTGGTTTTTTTCTGGTAGAAATGGCAAAATTTTGGTTAGTCGTCAAATCAAGAGAAAATCTATGGCACAAGGACACAAGAAGTGTCAAAATTTTTATACAACACTCACTTTAGTGCCAAAATTTTTCGTCGGCTCACTTGAGTGTTAAATTAGAGAAAAAACGATCACTTAAGCTCTTCTGGCGAGAAATTTCGGGCAAAAAAATTACACTGCTTCTATAATGAAAAGTTAAAATTGAGTTGCCATTTTTTTTAATCAAAAACGAGTTCACATGGACATCCTAAACGACATCACACGAAATGACGTGGTTGGCTTGGCTAAAAAGACGTCGCACTAGGGGTGTGCAAAAGAATTGGGAACCGCCCGGTCTGCCTAGAATCGGACTGGACCGGCTCAGAACCGGTGGTTCTTAAGGGAATCGGTCCAGTTCGTGGTTCCAATTTGTTGGAACCGATGGGTATTGGTCCGGTTCCCGATTCCAAGTGTGGAACCGCCCATTCGCCTACTTGGACCGGATCGGTAATATATATTATATTTATTTATTTTTTGATTTGTTAAAAAAATATAAAAAAAAATCCTAAATCGCTAATGCGAAACTCTCACTCTCATCTCGATCTTTACTCTCCCTTGTCTCAAACTCTCACTGTCTTACTCTCACCCTGGTTTGCAACAATTGTTGTTACGCCAGAGTTTGAATTTCTGGCATGGTCAATCGAATTCTGTATGGTGGGGTGGGGATCTTTGGTATGCGTTGCGTAGGGGGCTGCGTCTCTTTCTTGTGTTCTCTAAGCTGCTTTTTGTGGCGTCGTTCTATTTCCGTTGCTTGTTGTGTCTATTGTGAGAACTCTAATTGGAGTGCTAAGAGCTAGGTGAAGAAGTATTGTTGACGTAGTCTGCTATAAGTGATATTAAAGGCTAGGGTGATTGTTGGATGCAAACTCTAATAGATTTGTGTTTTTTAGTCTTAGTTTTGGAGCAAATTCTTGGGACAAGTTTGGTGATGTGCTCTCTTGCTTACACGCTTCCTAACATACTAAAATTGTTGGTTCATTGGCTCTAGCTGAGAGTATCTTTGATGAGGTGTAATTTTAATTATTTTAGAATAAGTTCTTTATGTTGTGTAATTCTTTATTGCATATTACAGTGTTAACGTGTGAAGCTTGCTGGGATCGGTTTCATGGACCCTCCCAGGAATTGGACTAGACCGGTGGTCCTGTTCCTGGGTGAATCCACGGAACCAACGGACGGTTCTTGGTTCTAATATTTCGAAACCTATCCTTAGTGGGAGGTTCCCGGCTCTAGGATGGGAATCGCCCACCGGGACCTTGCTCACCCCAACGTCGCACGAGGCCCACCTCAAAAACGACATCACACGGCCATTCTCAAAATAGGTTGAATTGATACATTTTTTCCTCTCTCTGTCACAGCTGTTCAGTAGCCGTCCTCGTCGCTCTCGCTCAGTCACTTGCTCGAGGTTCGTCAATCCTCTCTCATTCACTTAATTGGCTGGAAAAATTAGAGCTCGATTCTTGGGGCAATTGTGGAGAATTGGTTGAATTAGGGTTTTGATTTAGGGTTAATTTTTGGGAAATTGGTTGAAATATTGATTTAGGATTTCGAATTTGGGAATTTTGTTGAATGGTCGATTTAGGATTTATATTTGGGGCAAAACATGTAGGTGACGTGTTTAGGGGGTGTATATGCTGACTGGGTACACAAGCGAGCCACGTTGGTTAGAAAAACCAATAAAGTGTGGCCACGTCGGATTTCCGGCGATCCAAATCGGAGTTGGCACTTGAGTGATCCAAAAAAAAAAACTTTTAGCACCAAAGGAGCGCTGTACGAAACGTTGGCACTTCTAGTGTCCTTATGGCGAAAATTTACCATCATCTGAACTTAGATCTTCATTGGTTATATTAAGTTACACAATAGTTGGAACAACCATTGCTTAACTCTTTGCATAATATTGAGGAAAGTTCTCACTCACACACCATTCAAAATGTCCGGCTTTCGTACAATTTCATATAAAATAAATGAATCGTCAAGTCTGTCGACCATTTAACTTGTTCCCATGTTTTCTTTCTCTATGATTTTCTAAGGAGGGAGAGTAGCAGCTCACATTTATAAGACAAGGAATTCCAAGAGAGCAACAGTATGGAAACCTACGCAAACCTCACACTAAGAAAGCTCCCGAGGATATGACTAGGGACACCTTCCCGATTAGAGGCATCATGTGCATCTGGCTTCGGACTTTGGCGGGCATGGCGACTACATCGGACTCGATTGGACTCTAGGGCATCATCTAGCAACAGAGTAGTGCTCTGATATAGACATCAATGATGCAAGAGCTCTCTTCCGTCCTATAGCCAACTCAGTGCCTCGTCCTGTTTATTCAGAAAATGATATCCAATATGTTATAATTTTCATTTGAGAGAGAGAGAGAGAGAGAGAGAGAGAGAGAGAGAGAGAGAGAGAGAGAGAGAGAGAGAGAGAGAGAGAGAGAGAGAGAGATCTTACCAAAGATGCATCATTTTTCTGGTAGATCACTGATCCAATACTATGCAAGGTTAGAGTAAGTGAGACATGATTATTGGATGCATGTCAAAAGAGGCTTTCAAAAAGGTCTTGCTTCGAAGCACCTGTAAGACTAGTAGGAGAGAAGAAATTCAGTCGGCTAAGGCGTGATGTAGCAGGAGATGAAGGGCTCTATAAATAGGTAAATACTTAGTCATGCTCATTATTGAGGTGGATAGACTCGCACAATTTGCATTTAATACGTTCCCATACTAAGAAATATATCAACGGCAAGGTTTGTTAGAATGGATTTTCTCTAAGGGCGCGACCATATACACGCCCTCGGCGATTACTTAACTATTTGAGAAATTTAAAATCTAGACCGTTAGATTGTTGATGATTTTGATGGATGCAAACACCAATGGCAATTTCACAATATCAAAAGTACCTATTTCATGTTTTTAATAAAACCTTAAAGTACGCAGATAAACTGCTATTTACTACCGAAAGTTATAGTTTGTTATATCGGGTTCACATCTCTTCCCTATTATGAATTAAAATAGTTGCACTTACCATTGATTGGAAAGATCTCCAACACTGGTTAAACTCATTCATCTAGCATACATATGGTCTTATATGTTCTAAATGAGAGAATTAATATTGTGTAAGCAAGTAAACAAACAAATGCGTAGAAATTAAATTTGTCTATATAATTAACTACTTGGTAACCACGAGCAAGAAATTATGTTTTCTATAAATAACAACCATTTTATCAAGAAACTATGCAACTTGCGTATAAATGGATATACCATTTTACTAAATGGTATTATTCTTACCAAGAAGATAGAACTATATTAATTAATTTGAAACGTATTAGTTTATAAACACTAAAGAACAATATATAGACCGAAAATTCATTAATTGATTTCAAACATTGTATGTCATTGTTATTGCATCTACACAAATGATAAAGGTAAATTGCAAAGAAGATTGGAAACCCTTTAAATGCTTTTTAGTTCAATGTTTTAAAAACCAATCTTAATTTTAAGCATGCATTGATTTTTTTTTTTCATTTGAGCAATGCCAAAGTTTTAATCCAAATATTTTTCCATAAAAAATAGGGTTAATACTAAAAAAAACCTCAAACTGGTACATTTGTAACAAATTTACCTCAAACTAATTTTTTAACCACCAAAAACCCCAAACTAGTACGTTTGTGACTAATTTACCCCTAACCAATTTTTTTACCACAAAAAATCGTAAATTTGTATATTTGTGACAAATTTACTCTCCGTTAAATTAGATTAATACCAAAAAAAAAATCACAAACTAGTACACATGTGACAAATGGAGGGTAAAACCCCAAACTGATACATCTGTAAACTGTCACGTGTCATTTAACTAGGTAATTTGATAGTAAAATTTAACGGAAACTAACGGAGGGTAAATTTGTCATGGGTATACCAGTTTGGGGTTTTTGGTAATCCAAAAATTAGTTTTAGGTAAATTTATCAATGGTGTACTAGTTTGGAGTTTTTCGTATTATTAACCCTAAAAAAATATCTATTCTTTTGACGTACTTCTAGTCTATGTCTCCGTCACTCTTCATTGATGAAAAAAATGATTCTATACAAAAACTATGTTGTACATGCATGATACATTCTTAATTCTATTTGTATTATAGAGTAATAAAATATTTGACTTCTTTTTATTTATCACGCAAAATGTTATATTATTGAAGCACCTATTAATGCAATTATATCTTTCAACTTTGATTTGTCATAAGTGAAAATTTGAATGCAACTCTCTCTTTTTCTGCCTTACACACTTATATTTGATCTCATTGTACAAATATAAACTGATATTTTATAGAATAAGAAGAGAGCTTCCTACTAAGATATTATTTTGATATTTTTGTCAATACATCCATAAATAGGGAATATGGAATCAGCAGAGGAGCGAGATGTGAAGGAAACCATACCTAGAACATCGCTTAAACAGATGATTGATTGCAGTTTCAGCCCATTGGTTACAACAGTAAGCACAAGACCTAACAAACTGACACTGCAGCTTCGTTTGCACTAACTAATAACGGCCATAAAATACCAGGTCTCAACTTCAGATCGAGCTACCAGTCATGCTCACATGACCAGTCATGGTTTGGATTTTTCAAGATGATATGCAGGAGGAAAATGCGGAGAAAGAGAAACAGTTTGCTGGTGACTGTGCCGTGAAGGAAGAAAGAAAGGAAAGCGAGGAGGGGTTCGAGACTTTTGGCAGACAGCCAAGAGGTATCAAAAGAGACTGCTCAGATAATATGTCCGAGCAGAAGAAAGTCGGTGAAATCTTGACTAGGTCAAGAGAAGAGGGTGTCGGGGTGCATCAAGCAACAGGGAAAAAAGATCATAGGAGCAGCCGCGACCATGAAATTCGCAAGGAGAGATCCAGCGGAATTTTATAGGCTTCAGAGTTCGGTGCATGTCAAATACCAAAAGCATTCCATTCTGCAAGATAGACAAGAGAATAAATCTCACGATGCACTGACGTATCTTTGAAAACAAAGGAAAGAATAGGAGCAGTCAGACATGTATGCCTGCATATAGGTGACTTTATTTATTGAGATCCAATGAACATGAACAAGCAGCAGCCTGGAAAAGCAGTGTCAAGATACAATTGAGGTGTAAATAGGTCCATACACACATACCCCAAAACATACCCTGCCTTTTAGTTGGGGATTGGGGGCAGAGTGCGATGACTGAAAGAGCATTCAGATGCCAAATAGAGTTATGGATAGCACAGACCAGCCATGCTTCATACAAAGGAAGAAATACAAACCGATTATAGAGGAAGGCAGAACATGAACAGTAGCAACTGGTGAAGGCACTAAATTAGGTTAAACATCACGACAGAAACTCAATTGCAGATGTATTTGCAGTTGAATCAGTGGTCTGTCATGGTTAATATTTGGTCCAGAAGTTTGATTCCTGCTTCCGAGCAACAGAAACTAAGAACTTGAATGCATAATTGGTCAGATACTCTACTCCTAAACAATTAGGGCCCAAAAGTAGGTCTTACGCATATTAACTGCATTTACTAACCATGCTCATCAACTGCAGACTCTCGAGTGATTGGACCAGTTCAAGTTTTTGCTTTTTTTCTTCCACGAAGCAAAACTTCAGTAAAATAACAATCCTTGAGTGGAGGATGACTGGAACCGAGTTATAGAATGGCTATAGTATTCCTCATGGACCTGAGCTTATTAGTATGTACCTGAGCAGAGGCGCATGTACATGTGCATGTCAGTGCGCACACATGTTTGCATTCCTTAGAATATAAATCATACATTCACAATAAAATTCACCTGAAAGTTTACAGATAAGAAGTGAGGCTGATATTTTAAATAAATTAAATTACAATAGTTCGAATACTCCCAAGGAAAGAAAGCTAAGACATGCCTGAAATAATCGGACAGTGATCTTCGTAGTGACTATTGAAGATATTATTAATCCCTCCGATGGTGCTGTTGATGTTGAAAGGTCTCATTTACTTCATTTGTAAATTTCTGCACAAATATTACCACAATAACGTGAAATATACAGAAACATTGATGACCCGAAGTCTAATAACCTGGACAGGAGAAAAACAGGACATAGCTAGAGACAATATGCTTACCAGAATGTCATAGGCGAGGATGATGTTGTTGCTTTTAAGACTACAAGAGACTAAACAAAACTAAATTTGTCAAACGAGGCCAAAGAAGAAAGAACAAGCATCCACTGAGAACATTACCTGAGAACTGATAATGTCTTCCCCAATGAAGCAAAAACTGCAAGACTGCCATTAAAAGGTGAGATACGCAGGTCCCTAACAGCTTCAATACTGGAAGGGTGTATGATATCTTTGGTTTCGTGGGGTTATAACAAACTCTTCTGCACATTTACTCATAAAAAAAAAGAAGTTGGTATTTATGATAAAAAACCCACCCACTACTCATGCCAAAGTCCAGAAATTTCACCTTTGTGAGCGCATCCATTGTACCTATACTGAATAGCCTTCGTGCAATAAATTAGACTTGATCACATATATCAAATAGACGTGCACCCTCCACTTGCAGCTCGGTTCGTAAAACATCAATGTCAAGGATAATATCCCATACAAAACCATAACTTTTGGAGAAGTGAATATATTATATGTTAAACCACAAAACTTGTCTAGTGAGCAGTAACAAGACAGAAAAGCACCACAGGCACCATTAGCCATATCAGCAATTTTAGAGCGAATAGTGAAAGGACTCAATAGCCTATATCATTTAATTCTAGATTAAGTCTAGTTTAGTACTCTTGACTTGTACCCTTTGTCTTCTTCAATTTCATCATCCTTTTTCTCTTGCAATAGATTCCTTTAACTTGCTTGATTTCTGAATTTGATCCTTTTGTGACCTACCAGTACTTGCTCCTTTAAATGTGGAGTGGCCATGCTAAGTGGACTCACTTAAATGATGTGACCAAACATATGTATGATAAAGTGAAGTCTATTTTTTCCGCTTTCACATAAGTAGTAAGTAAACATTTAAATCTTATCATCTAAATATACTCAATCGAGAAAAACTTTAAAAAGAGGAGATTGCCAGATTGCAATTTCAACATTTCAAAGAAGCAACAGTAGGTGACGGAAGGATCAAACTGCACTTAAAAGTATCAAGCAAGTTAAGATACTCAATCTAAAGAAAAGTTCGAAAGAAAATCAAAATTTGACTGAGCCCACAATATGAATTATGAATGAAGAATTCGCCATCTAACAAAGTTTTTTAAAGTATTCGGAAACAGAATTTGTGTTTTATTTTTTTTTTTTTTTTGTGTGAATGTAAGTAATATAAACCAGATGAAGTACAGCAGCTTAGGGGCATCCCCAAGAATACAGAATTTGTGTTTTAGATAGATAACAAAAGCTCAATTCCAACACAACCAAGTGCAAATAATTCAATCTTAGAACAATTATCCATGGTTTGACTCGATCTTATCAATTCTAGAATCTAATGGTGGTATTCTCTCTTTGATTGATAAAAAAATCAACTATAGGGCACCAAGGGGGTGCGAACCCATCTGCAAAAAGAGCCCAAAAAGTTGACGCCATGTACAAACAGCTCTCGGAACCAAAAGGGATCTCAAATACAAGATGATTATGGACTATGTCAACCATGGCACTTACATCCATATGCAAGTCTACACTGCACCGAACGCAGATAATTTCAAGCCAATTTTCAATAAAATAAGAAATGAAAGATTGCACTCCATCATAATCTCTCATGTTCCGCTCCATTGAAATCAATCAAAAGAATTGTTAAATTTATGTCTTGAGCTTGAGCTGTATACAAGACCCGACGATCCTTATTTTGTAGTGAGGTCATTGAACTTATTTTGTAGGAACCCTCCTTATTTTGTAGGGACCATCTTACTTATGTAGAACAATCCTCCTTATTTGTAGGGACGCTCCTTATTTTCGGTCATTCAACAATCATCCACCCGTCCTTATAAAAGGGTGAGAGCACCGCTTGATGCAAAACAGCCAATCATCCTAAATTCAAATGGAAAAGCAGCTTTGCAAAACTTGCCTCTGAACAAGTACGCCTTAACCTGCGTCGTGGTGGGCTCTAAGACCTCCTTGTTGCTCGTTTATAATAAGGCCTCCTCTCTCTCTCCAAAGTTAATTTTTTAATGCGTGGGAAATGAAAAAAAAATGCCAAAAAAAGGATTACTTAATTTTGGATAACATCATCCACTTATTCCTTTTTTTTTTCTTTTTTAACCCAAGCAAGTAAATTTCAGATATAAAATCCATTGCACTTATTATTTCTCGTCTTTCTTATCTTTATAATCATATATATTAGGAAAATAAATTCAAATAAAAAGGGAGGAAAGTAGGGCACATATTGTTTTTTTTTTTTGGTCAAATTCTTGTATGTGGTTACGATTTACATGGAAATATTGTGATGATAAACAAGCTTCTTCTTTTTTTTGAATTTTGGCAAATATAGGTGTGACGAGCGGAGCATAATACACATAAAGGAGCTGAAGAAATCTCAAGAGTAGGTTGAGGTCGTGACATCGATCCTTAACGTGTTATCGCTCCTCGAGTTGTTGATGGCGGGGCGAACCTCCGACTGGATTGGCCATCGCTACACGATCGTGTTGGCGAGGGCCACCGTTTTGTCGGGGGCCACCCGACGAAAAAGGTGGCCCCGCCCCCAACAAAAAGGTGACCCCCGCCAACACGATCGCGTAGCGGTGGCCGATCCAATCAGAGGTTCGCCCCGCCATCAATGACCCGAGGAGCGATAGCACACTGAGGACCCACATCAGGACCTCAACCTGCACGTGGGATATCTTCAATTCATTTATATGTGTTATGGCTATGCTCATCACTCTTACATTTGCCAAAATTCAAAAAAAAAATTTATTTATCATCACAATGTTCCACGTAAATCGTAATCATGTACAAAAAATTGAAAAAAGAAAAAAAAATTATGTGCCCTATTTTCCTCCCTTTTTATTTGAATTTATTTTTCTAGTATATGATTATAAGATAAGAATGAAGAAAAATAATAAGTGCAATGGACTTTATATTTGAAATTAACTTGCATAGCTTGAAAAAAGAAAAACGTGGATAATGTTATCCAAAATAAAGTACTTTTTTGCATTTGTTTTTCAGTTCCTATGCATTAAAAAAAGATCTTTGGCGATAGAGAGAGAGAGAGAGAGAGGATTTACTATAACCAAGCAAATTGGAGGTCATGGAGCCCATGACGCCACAAGTTAAGGCAAACTTGTTCAGAGGTATGCTTTGCATAGCTGCTTTTCCACTTGAATTTGGGGTGATTGGTTGTTTTGCATCAACTGATGCTCTCACCCTTTTATAAGGACGGGTGGAGGATTTGAATGGCCGAAAATAAAGAGGGTCCCTACAAATAAGGAGGATTGTTCTACAAAATAAGGAGGAACCTACAAAATAAGGAGGATTGTTCAATGGCTTTTCGTTTATGTTCCTCTTGCATTTGAACAAAGTCTGCACAATCAGTTTTCATTAAATTTTTTATTTTTCTATTCATTTTTTTATTTTTTATTCTTTATTCTTTATTTGCTATTTTTTTTGTTAAGGAGGACATGAGCTCGGTCCGAATACGGACTGTAGTGCGACCTTGCGAATCTGGGCTGCGGACACAAATGGGCTTATTATATCTAGCCCCTTTCAATCCTAACCTCACCAACCTCAATATCAAATATAACCATACTAAACCCGTTTAGGCTCGATCCGTGTCCTTTTTAAAAAAATAGCAAATAATAATAAATAATAAAAATAAATAAATGAATGAATGAATGAAAAAAAAAATGTAATGAGAACGAAAACTGATTGTGCATCAAGCTTTGATGAAAACTGTAGTGTTAAAGTGGGGAATTCATCAAGCTTGAAGGTCCTCCTCGACATGTACCATTCAGCATGAACGCAAACAGAACTTGCGTTGCATTTCACATACACTCAAACACATAGTCTCAATCATACACTGTGGACGGCACCATACATTTTTACATTCAAAACTCAATAAAAATCCAGCGAAAATGATCAGGACATTATGAACAGAACTTGATCAAATCAGAAATAACCGTTCAAACATTGAAATCGAACTCATTATCCTTTGGACTCGGCGAAAACGCACCAGGTTCAATTCTGTCTTATAGAAATCTCAGCCACGATTTGAAAATGACCGTCATATGTCCATGTATAACAGAAAGTAGCGAGCATGAAATGGACAGGGATTGAACAAGCTGTAGGCGAGGGAAGGTCTTGGTTAGCCAAGAAATGTATGGCAAGCACATCATCAGATCAGCACAAATTCCCAACTTCAATCTTGCATCTCAAGAAGACAATCACGGAGTACTCAAGAAGACAACATCCTCCAAACAGGGTCAAATCACTGATGGATCCTAAATTTAAGACTAATTTTACGTGAACTGCAACTTGCATGCTCGACCTCGGTTTCGTCAAAAACAGAACACCCGAGGCTCGACCGAGCAGAAGACACTTACCGGCAGTGATTAATGATCAAACCTTAATAATGAGGCTGCAGAACCCGCGCCATGGACTGGAATTTGTGAAAGAGACGGTGGTGATTGCGGCTCGAGTTCTTCGGCGACGGCGACGGAGAACAGAGGCGAACAAAGTAGTGCAGACGCAACTGCAGGAACGGCTGGAAACGATGGCGACGGCGGTTCTGGATGGGCTGGAGTTGACTGACGCGAGCGCTGGTGATATAGGAAAGATACCAAGAGATCAGTGCTATCAATCGAATCAAAATCGAAACCAGAGAAAGTAAGAGGACTCAGCTTTAGCAATCGAATAACGAGGAGTCGAGCGAAGGTCTGAAGAGGGTTTTTCTTGCCTCGATGATCTGTTCCTGAAGTATCGATCGTCCCCTCTCTCTCTCTCCGGCGAAGGGTCAACTGCTCCGAACTTCTCGGCCATTATACAGGGCCGAGCAGAGCAAGGTGAGGATTCCGTTCTTCATATGGGGATTTAGTTAGTTTGATGAGAGAGAGAGAGAGAGAGATCCGTTCTATCTGAATTGCTTCGTTCACCACCCCCGTTTCTCACGCCCGTCCCTCTCATCAAACTGAAACTGCCTTGGCTAAGTCTTGAAGCGGGTCGAAGTATGCAATTGGGTTTTACCACGAAAATCAAATTGACTAGGTCCTGATTCTTCCTTCACTTGTCAAAAATTTAATTGTTCGGCCCGAGGTATCGATATTATAATGTCCCTAATTTGTGAAATTAATTTTCTAAGAAAAATGTATTTCGGAATTATTGGTATAATTCAGGAGTCAATAGTGGCCACCGTACATTTTCCCTAGGGAAATTGGACAACCCTTGGATATCGGAGTCCCACTCGGTTTTCTAAGGAAAAACCGCACAATTTTAGCACGTCAGAGCACATTCCGCCTTTTTATTTTTTTTATTAAATTAGATTATAAACTAAAAAAGGCTAAAATTTTATTTAAAAAAAACAAAACTGGAAAAAAAAAAAGGGAGAGAATGGAAGGGGGCTGGTGGTGTGCCATCACCGCCCATCATCGAAGGGGCCAACAGAGGTCGCTAGCCCCGGGATAATTTGTGCAATAAGAAAAGTGCTTCCAATTGAGATATTTATTTGAGATTTTTGTCAATAAGAAAAGTGCTTCCTACTGGCCGACGGAGGTCACTGCCAATCATGTTACAAATTTTTGTGCATCACTTCATTAGATTTGAAAATTGAGTTGCATATCATTGAAGGCACTCTAGTTGGAACTATCGTTGCTAATATATTGAAGATTAACTTTTTGCACAATATCAGGGAAAACTGTCACTCACACACCATTCAAAATGACCGGCTCTCGTATAATTTTATATCAAGTACATGACATGTCTAATCTATAGACCATTTAACTTGTTCCCATGTTCTCTTCCTCTATGATTTTTTGAGGAGAGGAGCAGCAGCTCACTTTTATAAGATGAGGAATTCCATGCAAACAACATCATGGAAACCTAGGCAGACCCCACACAAGGAAGCTCCCGAGGATATGGCTGAAGATATCTTCCTGATTATAGGCTTCATGTGCATTTGGTCATAAAGCCTGTTGGGTCTGATGACTACATCGGACTGGATTGAACTCTAGGTAATCATTCAGCAGCAGAGTAGTGCTTCGACAGAGACTTCACTACTACAAGAGTTCTCTTCCG